AAATTACAACTGGCACTTATTTCCAACAATCCGCAAATAGAACATCAATGTGTTCCTTGTAACCAAAGATCATCTCTCCTCTTAGAAGATCCACTTCTGCAGTTCTTTGAAAATGGATTTGGCTGAAAACAGCTTCAAGAATGCAGATGTTACATACTGTTCAAATAACTCGCTTTATTCCTTAATTAAAATGTAATTAACATTCTCTCTCTTGTATGTGATATAATCAATGCCTGACAGATACTGAGCCTAGACTCAGCCCAGGCTCAGTTTCAGGAAAGGAAATTTTTACTTCACATGGGGTAAAATAAAAAATAAAACTGGCATTAGTTTGCAGACATTGCTTTATTGTATCTTCAATTTCATGTACAGAGATGCCACTTCAAGGGACTCACAAATCCTTCCACGTGAATAAATGTATAGAAGAAATTGTTTTAAAAATTCTATGGAAATTGCTTGGATTTAAATAAATAAATAAACCCCCCAAACCACCAAAAAAGTCTCCCACACTCACTTTTCAAGCTCTTCCTGAGAATGAGCAAATGTACAGTTTGTTCCTCTTGGACATCCCCCTTGCTGTCGAAGGTCTCTGCACATACTTGTTTTATATTTGCTATTTGGTTGTGGCTTAAAAAAAAAAAAAAAAAACAAACCACAAGACATTTGTCTTACAATCTAACAGACATAAAGATAGGCTTAAAATACACATCCATGATATGTTTTTACATTTTACACCTTTAATCAGAAAACTAAGTAAACTTCTTGTTGCTGGGCTAAGTACTACACCACGGCATGGATCTCACTACCGCAAGCTTTGCTGCATTCCATATTCAGAAACGCAAAGTTCTCAAAACCAGAATGCAGTAAATAACTGTATTATCAATTATTCCACAGAAAAGGCCACAAATATTTCAAATCAATAGTAATTTTTCACGATTGTATCTTTCAGGAAATGTACATTAAGATACATAATGCAACGACCTAATAAATTACCTGTGGAGTTTCATGGCCTTTTCTACTGTAATTCTGAATGAAATCCACCAGCCCATGTACCACAGTCTTTACAGCAACCATCGCATTTTCCAGTTGCTCCCATGTTGGAGATGCTGCATCTAAAATTATTAAAAGCAGGCTTGTCATTCTGTCAGTAACTCCAGCAGTATCACAAATAAGAGGCAACTCTTCTAATACTTCAAAACACCAAGTACTAGGACAGAACTCAGAGAGCCCTAAAGAAGAGTTTGTTATATACTATGTTAATTAACGGGAGTTTTGGAACCAGGAATGGAGGTCATCTTAGTAGTTTACTTCGCTAGATAAGAAAAAAATATCAAGAAATGTTTAAAAAGCTTCTGCATACCTGGATTTGGATCTATGTTTGCCAGGAGCTCTAAATGAGGCCTCAGCCTGTTTAAGTTTGCAGGATCCCCCGTGCGCTGCAAGACAATTGTCAATTCTTGTACACTCTTTGCAAAAGATTCTGGAGATTGGAGCTGAAAACAAAGCCAGTGTTAGTGTGTTTGTTGCATTTTACAACTGTGAACTATTAAATCTGAAAAGATTTTCGTTACGCTGGTCCCTCAACGCAATATGTAGTGTCTTCAGATGGCATATAGAGAGTATCAGTGGAGAGAAATTGTATTTCTCAGCTCAGAATCTGCCCTATGAAGCTTCATCATAAGACACAAAAAAGGGAATTAGTCTTAAACTACTGAAAAATCAAAATGTCTTCATATGGAGAATACACCACAGTGGGGAAAAAAACCTTCGTTCTAGTTTTAATTAATATTTGACATGACTAAAGACAAAAAGTTAACTCAAGCAGTTCTCCGATTCTTGTTACAACATTTAATAGTCAAATCTAATCCTACAAAGATACTAAAATCATCCCTTTGACAAACCTTGTCAATAATGGATTGCATGTGTGATTTATGTGCCAAGTCACCATAAAGAAGGGAAGACCATTGTTCTGGCGATATTCGAAGTCCTGCTTCCATGGCAATGTGAACAATTTGGGCGTCATGTTCTCTCCGCAAAGCCTCGTAACTCCGAAATTCTTCTTTAAGTTGCATCAGAGAAGAATCTTCATCCCTTTTAGTGACCTAATAAGTAGTAATAGTTAAATGCTCCTCCTTTAACAAAAAAAAAATCTCCAAGTCCATCAGAAAGTGACAGTTACATAGGACAAATCAAAGTATTACTTTTGTATATTTAGCATATACTTAATTTTATCCCACGTATTCATCCACTTTGCTAGCAGTGCAAGGCAGAAACACCAGCTCCTCCAGTTCTTACAGGATCACGGGTGCAAAACTATACACACTCACAACTTCCAATTATCAAAGTAATCAGATTCGCTTAAGTGACAGAAGATATGGTTAGATATTTAGTAGTTCTACTAGTAGTTTTTGCTATGCAATATTAAAGGAGGACTTAAAAGAAACAAGAAGGTCTAGAAGTGACTTAAATAATACAAAGGAAGAAAAATTTTAAGACATTGAGACTTAAAGAGAATATTTAACTGAGATTCCATTATAAATGTTAAGTAAACCTCTTAGATTACAGAAGACATTTGTCATAAAGGAGAGCAACAGGTCTCATTATTTTAATGTTTAGTTCAGTAACGTGATAATCACGTTTTTAACTGTGATTCATAAAGAAAAGAGACCCGTGGAATTAATTTTTCCTTCTTCTCCAACTGCGAACATCCAGCTCAAACAACCCACCCCTGTATATCAAAAATAAAGCACCTTTTCAGGGCGAGGCGGCTAGATACAGACAAAAGAAAAAGAAGAGAGCGTGACAAATGTGTGGGAACACAACGCTGGAGGCCAGGCTGACAGCATTCGCTGTGTATGGTGTCCCCCTCTCATGCCTGGTGTTGGGGCTAGGGAAGTTCCCAGGACTACAGCATTCCTAAAGTTTTCTTTAGAATGCTGGGATTGGGTTCTGGGCTTTGAGGGCATCCAGGCCAGTCAGGCATGTCTGGCCACTGCCAACTCTTATGAATCTAAATAAAGTCAAAAGTGATTATATTAAAACATTGCACTTCTTCCTGAAGCGGACTAGGAGTGCCTGCAGAGTCAGCTTTCATGCCTCCTTCAGAGCAGATGGGCAGCAGTTAATAATGAGGGCAGTAATTTCAGAATCTATTCTGGCTAATTCCACATGTGACCATTTGTTCCTTTTGCAGGGAGTTTTAAATATCAAACAACAAGTGAAAGATACTAATCCTAGGTCAGGTTCTCTGGAGCTGCACTAGTCCACAGTAACAAACTTCAAATACTGGTATTTTACCTTAAAGCATGATGCTCTATACAGTAGCTGCACAACATGACCAATGCTTGTTTTGGAGGCCTGAGGAAATCTTGGTTCTAGCCTTTGCACAACAAAAAGTACCAGAACTTTTCTTGAGAGTGCAGAGCCATCTTCCAGTGCCAGTAATACAAGTTTCAGTGCCTCCTCTTGCATAGCTTTAATACACAAAAATAAAAGATAGGAAGTGAAATACATTGCCAGAAAACAGCAAGGCTGTATCATACATTAACACGACAAGTAGGAGCATCTGAATCATCTTGAACATAATTCCTTATTACTTTTTATTTCGTCAATCATAAGGAAGTAAGATTTGTAAACATCTTGAGAAATTTGCCAGTTTAGAAGCAGCACTCTAAGCATAGGAAACTTAGAGCTAAGACTAATTTTTGGTAATAAACACATCAGTAGTGCAGCTTTTAGACTTTTCTCCACTGTGCAGTCTTGTAGCCTTTGTCACTTTGGACACCTCATCAATGCTACACCATGAAACTGTGCAAAATAAATACAGGAACATTACAGGAAGGTTATCATCAGTTATGGGAATCAAGAGAGGACTACTTCCAGTTTAAACAGAATTTCCTTCTCATTTCTGTGCTTGATTCAGCAGCATTCTTAAGAAAGAATTTGCTGGTTTTGTCAAAGATATAAACACGATCATTATAAATCTTAAAATCAAAGTATGCTGCAACTAAAGTTTGGCTGATTGTATTTACAGCTAAAGTATGAACAAGAGAGCACATGCAGTTTCCTATCCGATTCTAGTCACAGGCAGCAGTATAACCAGCCTGCATTACAGTCATACTGCATCACAAACTGTGCAGAAGGCACGCTCTTTACTCTTCTTTGCCAGCATTTTTAAATACCTCCCATAAATTCATAGAATAGTTAATAAGGAGGAAAAAAAACACCCCAAACTTTAAACCAGCAGAGTTTACTAACTTGTCTATTTTTTTTCCTTCTCCTTTCTTACTGGCAAAAAGTTGAAAACCAGAAGTAACTACATCTTCAAGTGAACAGAAAAAACTTCCAAAGAACTTTCTGTTAAGAAAAGGTACAGCGAAATATACTCTGTGCACATTCTACAGGTGCCTTACCTGGTCCTAGAAACTGGCATCCTCGTGCTCTGACAGCAGCCCAAAGATTGGCAGAAAGCTGCTGAGGATTTTGGTGCTGCAAGATCAGTTCTGTAACGGTTCTCTCTCCCAGTGACCGAGCCGCCCTCATAGCTCTAACCCGACCCTCTTCCTCCACCAGCTGACAATTCACCAGTGTCACAAGCTTCCTTTGCATTGGACGGCTCAGTGCACTCTGGTTCAAGCTTGCAACACCTGCAAAGAAAGGGAGAAAAGGCAAACTGTTGCTTCTAACCAGACCCATTCATCTGAGGACGACACACAGAAATGTCTAATAGTATGTGACCTTCTCTAGGACTCGGATTCTAGTCACAGGTATCTTAGGCAGCTCTATGTAATTCATTATCAAAAAGAATTTTCATTAAAGGCTTAAACTGACATCAAACTCATTCTTTAAGGAAAGTTCAACTTTGGCACAAAGTTAGCCCCAAGGTAATATTATTAAATAAAAAAGAATATTTCGTAAACTTAAAAAAAAACCCCAAAAGATCAAGTGTCACAGGTATGAATGAGCTTTTAAAGACATAAGGGAAATTTTTATTACAAAAATGAGAGGATTATCCCACTGACATCTAAAATCAATGCTGAAAACACAATGCTTGTTAAAATCAAACACCAAAATTCCGCTGTTCAGCAGAGACTCACCTTTTCCACCACTTAACGGCTTTAAGTAGAGCGCCAAATCCTCAACACATTTCTTTGCTACTTCATAGTGTTTGTTCTCTCCTACATTACTCAACTTTACTGTCTGATGATCAGGTACCTAAGAAAAGGCAAGGAGGAGGAGGAGGGAGAAGAATCGTATAATCTCGGCTGACCTCTCTGATATGCCGACGATGGTACCAACACCACTATTAATTACATAACACTGCAGATGTTCCCTGCTTTTTAGAGAAGTGAGAGACCAGGCCCACCCAATGTATGTCGACTGTAATAAGGGTAACAAAAAGGACTCGAGATGAGAGATTATTTTTTGTTAGTACTCAACACATTAAGAACAAAAGTAGGATGGAAAACAACAACCAAGGTCTAAAGAGAAGGTACTTAAATGAAGAACGCAAGATCTGAAAGGATGATCAGTGTACAAGATCAGCGTGACTTACTACAGAGAGACAAGGGAAGTTATAAGACAAAATTAACTGGCAAGAAAATAACATGAAAAAATCAAAAGCAAAGTCGAAAATAATTTAAGCTTAATTTGGGTGTGCTGAAATCTTCAAAGAGAAGAACTAGCAAACTCAACCTGGTGGAGAAAACTCAAAGTAGAGCAACAAGGTCAGACAATGAAAATAGAGGTCGTATTAGTCACAATACATTAAATTGTTTGAAAGACATTGCAAGAAGTTAGGGGACCAGGAAAATGAATGTTGTAAGATCAAGGCAGTGATCTGACACAAACTTAGAAATAAAAACATGAAAGGAACATGTGAACTCGAGAAAAAACCCACTTTGACATAGACAGCGTTATTACCAACAGCTGTGCCAAGGCACGTGAGAAGACATTAAAAAGCACAGTAAAAAGCACCTTCTCACTGCATCACCCAGGTGTTACAGCGAGAGTGACATGGAAAAGCACAGGGTGAACAGATTATTTCGTCTCCATAAAGCGCAGCACTGATTATGTAATGGCTGTTTTGCCACTGCTGCGAGACAGCACAGGGAACACTCCTGGCCTGATTAGCCAGTGTCTGGAAACGCAACTGAAACACCATCATCATGCATATTTAAAAAAAAAATTACACACACACACACACTTCTGAAACGTGGTTAAACAGCTAGCTACTGTTGAACACGTGACTCGTAGAAATGAGATTCCTTGCAGGAATACGATGAATGAGAGCAATCTGCAGGTTCACTTCTCTAATGACAATTGTGACAGATAACTGTCTATCTCCTAACGGGTATTTTTCTCCAGTCACAGTCCAAGAGTCTTTTTAAACCAGAATTCAGCTCATGACTAGAACATGCTTTCATTTTATGAGAAGAGGATGGCCCTGCAAATAGTGTGGCCGCTTTTAGAGTAGGTATGGACTTCCAAATATTACAAAGTTAAAGTCTTACCGTATTTTTTTTTAGACTAAAACGAGGGAGAAAGATCAGCGGGCATATTGCAACTGGCACGTAAATGATAACAACATGAATGTCAAAACAAAGAGCTGCTTAAATCGTACCTGGGCTCCAACTAACTGGAGGAGTGCAAAGTTCACAGGAAGCACATCGATGTCTGTATTGATGGCAGTCTGGTCGAAAGGACATGCCTTGCGATGAAGCTTGTTCAGGCAGGTCTTACAGACAGTGTGAGAGCAACCTAAGCTGATGGGTTTGTGCACATTCTCATCAAACTCGTTGTAGCAGATTGGGCAGGACAGAAATTCTGTCCACTGAGCTGCCTGCACAGGCATTGTGGAAGCTGGACACTTGTTTAGCAGGCTAGCAGACCATTATTTCACTGTACTATGTTTTGGCAGCTGTAAGTGAATAACAGAGTATTTAAAACATGCTTTCTAGTAATTTAAAAATAATTTTTAATTAAAAAACCCCACCATTTTAGTATTTTACAGAATAAAACCAAATCTTTATGTTGAAGTACTCAAAAAACGCAAATTTGTGTTAGTTTAATAATTGTACCAAAAAAGGCTCATGAACTGCATTAATGCAGACTACCATAAACTGAGCCTATCCACAACAAATGGCATTAAAATTCTTCTCCCAGGATTAAATACACCTTTAGCATAGGAAGAGGAAGACCTCTATCGGCACAGAAAACGTAAAGGCACGAATCGCAGTGACCACCTCTGACACCATCTCATCTAACCTCGAGTTTTCAAAGCCCTGAAAACGCTCCCTGGTTGTAGAATGGGGCTGGGGTGGGGAGAATACACAGATTTTTTTTTTTTTTTTTTTTAGCAGGGGGGGAGTTTAAAAGGTTATTTCCATTTCTGCAGATCTTATTCAGACATCAAACTAAAGAGCTTTTTTTTTTGTAAAAAAAGACACATTTTCTCATTCTGTAAAAGACAAATCAATTAACAACAGTTAACAATCAGAAGAAAACACTGAAAGAATGAGATTAGCTTTTAGTTTTATGATTCTCCTGCATTACTTCCCCCTTTTCTCCCAAGAACCCATTGGTGCACTAAAGGGCAAGTATCGCCATATCCGATTTTGCTTTTCACATCTCTACCTTACACAACGACGCAATGCCAGGTGTATGAACTCACAGCGAGTAAATCTCCAATGTGCTGAACATCCAGATATTTAGGACCAAGCTTACAACGTAAGCAATAACTTGAGCTGGCTTGCTGGTAAGTGTTTTCTCTTGAAACACCTCACCCTGTGCAGTTGTACCACACAAATCGTTTACACAAACGTATTCCAAAGGAATATGGATTTATAGAAATTGTTCTGAAAGACACGCCACCCTACAAAGCTATGTTCTTGAAAAAGATAACAGGCCTAAGAAGTTTGTTGAAACCGTTTACATTCAAGCTTTCATCACTAAGATTTAATTCACGGCTTCACCTAAGAGCTAAACAGCCCCACCCTTTGCCGCAATGTGTAGTGATGTTGACTTTCTATGCAACCCAGAGACCAGTTAGTTCACTTCAAGGCTATGAACAAGCTTCTCCTAGCAGCTTGTTAGAAATGCAAATACACAAATGTTGTAATCACATGTTCAACATTCTATTTTCTTCCCTCCGATGATGGAAAAAAGGTAATTGTTTTGAGGAAGCCGAGATCTCCCTTCCCCATTTGAATTTGGAAACTCTTTACTGCAATTCCATTGTTGGCTGAGCTACAGTTTAATTAAGGCTAAAGTATTGGACCATTGATATAATTACTAGAACACCAAATACACTCTATCTGTGGATGTATTTTATGTTAATCATGACCATCTGTTTAGAAATTCTATTTAGTGCTATGAACATTCAGTGCCCTTCAAGTAACAGGATACTTGTACAAGATGTCCTTATCTCAGCGAGCTTTTCAGTATCGTGCAGCAATTTCTCCCCCAAATGAATTCCCATAGTAAGTGTAAAACACAACAAACTGAAAGTCGAATCTGTCCTTTCAAAACCAAACGGCTGAGATTACACTTTCAACATAAGCCAGAATATTCACATGCACTGGAGAAAATAGATTTTCATCCAACTTCTAGGAAAGCACAATCAAACCTCATGCAGAGATGAAAAAAACCTGCAGTCCTCTTTAATCTGCTATTACTACATATGTGTTTTAACCAAGGAAATTCAAAGGCAAAACAAATAATAGCAAAACCAAACCATGAGCCAACACGCCCAGAAAGATTTTTAATTCCTCTATAAAGAACCCCACCATTTCCTTTAGCACCTCTACTTCAGCTTCCCCACCAAAGCAGCAGGATGAGAGACGCACAGAATTGCAGCGTAAAGCCTTGCAGTAAACACGTTACTTAAAGCTTTTTGCCAGCACTGACAGGAACATCATGATACTAACACCAACCTAGTGCTGACCTAGGAGCGATATCGGTGGGTTTTTCCCCATCTGGCTGCGTGACACAGGTAACAGCACAAACTAGACGAGGCTGGGAAGCGTGCTACCAGCCTGACTCACACAGGGAAGAGTTTAAGAAAAGGCTAGTGCACACACAGCTCAATTGCTAGTATGTCGTGTGTCACCGACAATCTCCTATTAAACAGACTCTACTTCCAAACCGCTGGTTAATTATCTCAAATGCAGGAATCTCTGCTCTCAGACAGTACCCACATTCTGTTTCCACAGATACTTCAGAGACTTGCAAGAAACAGCCACCTCTCTATTTACAAGCTTTCAAAATATAGTTGTTTGTTTTCCTGACCAGCATAGAAATGAACACAACAGATTCTTAAAGTGTGCACCACCGATTTTTAAAGATCTATCTCAGGGTATTTAATCTTCATAAATGACAGATTCTACTAAGCATGTGTTGACCTTCAGATTTCTTGACAGGAAAAAATCTAATTAAATCAGCAAACAGCTGGGGAAAGCTCTCAACTCCTAAAACTTCAAGCAGCCAAACGCAGAGGAAGCCTCCACCCTCTATTAAGCATGCCAGCTATCCTGCCATTCTTGCACTCCAGTGTGTTAAGAAAACAATCTCGCATCTCCTAATTATCATGTCAACTTCTACAAAAAGCATAAGCCAAATGTTTAACAGATTCTTGCTCCTTGTCAGAAACAATGTATTTCAGGGATGTCCTCTTGAAGAACAAATTGCTCCAGTGCTCTAAACCAAGCAAACACAAGGAGAGCATAATCAAGAAGGTGAACCAGAAATCATTTTGGGGTTGTTTTTAACAGGCAGTACACCCGGGGGGAACAACTACCCTTGGTCCACCTGTCCATGCAGGCAGCCAGGCTATCTATCTCCACGCATGGACTGGGCTTCTCTTCCCTGTCAAAGTAGAAGCACCCTACAAAAAAAAAATCTCAAAGAAATGGCTGATACAGAAGCTGGCCAAACCTACAAAGCAAAGAGTTTTGACAAGACATGGTAGTTTTTACTTAAAAGATCTTTACATAGCCTAGTCAAAATAAATTTTAGAGTCTTACTATTAGCAATACTTCAGATGACAAACTGAAAAATGCACAAGCCCAAGTTCAGAAAGCACATAATAAAAAACTATTACGGTTGAGTAATTTTCTGGTTTTGATACAAAAACATTTTTCCACTGCAGCAGCGGTTGCAATGGAGTGGAGCAATAACAATAAATAACTGATTTCTCATGATAATTTTAGGCCAGAATATTTGATGAAATTGGAAGGTCAGATGGAAGGGGAGAAAGGTGAAGCCTCAAAACGTTCCTCAAACGGCTGTACCATTTACAAACGATGGAAGCTGTAAGAGTTAGATGTTCTTATCTCACATTAACTTTTAGCTACCTAATCCCAGGACATTCGCTACAACTAATCTAAGCCATTGTACTTACTCAGCCACCTCTGGACATGACAAATACCATTTAATCCTGACTTCCTAAAGAAAGCAAGCGCAGGTGGCCATGCTGTTCTACTAGTCTGTTCCTCTCCCACATGATCCTCAAGACCCCTGGGCCATTTCTGAGCAAACCTGACAGAGAAGCATCATGTCCAAAAGGCATATGCATTCCATGAAAACTGGTATCTGGAAAAACTTCCAGAATTCACACGCTTCTCAGTAAAGGCTACAGCACGAGGCTCAGCAGTTACCTGTCTGCCTGCTTTTCTGATCTATCAGCATAGACACACCAGCCGACCAGAACCCAGCCAAAAAATACCACATTTTATTCGCACATAATAAAGGGCTATTTGGAAGGTAGAGATATGACACAAAGCTGCAGGATTCCAACAAACCTTTAAAAGACAGGGCTTGATCTGTGAAGAGAAATGTCAAACATTTGCTGCTTGGCCTCCTGAGTTCAGGATCAGCATTCGTTAAGCAAGGCAAGGAGAGGTTTCAGAACCCCCTGCAGGACACTGAGCCAGCACGTTGAGCTGAACGTTGCCTGGACTAGCTAATCAGAAATTCTGATGACAACGCTTTATCTTAAAGTCTACCTCTACCCAGGGCTGAGAGGCCTAACACCAGAAGGAGATGCTGATTTCTCCAGTGTTTCTAACCAGAAGTTAGTGACCTCAGGAGTTCAACAACTTCACCCCAAAACAAAGGAACTTCTTTAGTTAGCGGTGCTGGTGTTGCCTTACATCTTAATTCAGTGATTAGTTTCTCACCTACACCAAGCCATACAAATGCAATTACTTCCAAATACTTTTAACCCATGTTTTCATCTTAGAAAGAAGGATCCAAACACACACATTTAGAGATGGGGCAATTTCAGTCCCTCCCCTGGAAGCTACTCCTCACACATAAAAGGACTGACCGTTCACCATAGACAACTGCGGCCTCATCTTCAGCTACCTGAGCAGACAACTTGGATTTTGCTTCATTTTTAAAGATAATTTGTGCATTTTTACCAATCAGTCACTGGATCAAATCTAGGTATAGTTCTTCGAGCAAGGAAGAAAAAAAATTCAGTGCCTCCTCCCCAGCTACATGCCCCAGTTCCCAGGCAGCCTCAACCTTAGAAAACTTCCTTCTCTTCAAAGGGAAACAGGTTCAACACGAGGAAGGGAGCGAGCCCCTTCAGAGCCGCAGTGCCTGGAGTCAGGGCATTTGCTAAAACGTGAGACATCCAAGTCTCATCCCCCTCCAAAGGAAGGGCTGAAGGCTTGAACTCAGTTCCCCCATAACCTGGGCAAATGCCTGGGGGGAAAAAACCAACCAACCAACCAACCAAAAAAACCAAAAAGCAGCAGCAGTGTCACCAGCAGCCCCGTTTCTGAACAGAAGTGGCAGCCTTGCAGCTCCACGTTAGGTCTGCTCTGCTCAGGCCTACTCGACCAGGTCCCTTGTGGGACACAGGCAAAGGGAAGTCTAATAAGCAGAGCTCGTACGAGAACCAGACATGGACTAATT